CTCTTTAGTATCTTGAATTCTTCCCTGTGCTTTGGCTTCTCTGAGCTCCAGTGCAATTTTCAGAGTATCTTCTGACATCCATTTTGGTCTTTCCTTCCTCTTCTGTCTTTGCAATGACCATTTGCACTCTTCCTGGATGATACCTTTAATTTATTAACTGTTTTACAAAGTTAATTTTGTCATGTATTTTAATAATATTACTTTCATTTCCCCTCAATCTCTTAGTGTGATGAAATATATAACTTATTAAGTAGAGTTGAGTCAGCTTTAACATTTTAGGTTTTCAAAAAATACAGCTTAGGAGGTAGGTTTTAGAGAATTCCCAGTGGTCTCTCACATTTGCAATAAAGTGTTTGGAAGATTGAATAAAAAATATGTCGTTTAATGGAGAATAAACAATTGCTATGCTACTATCTCATTTAAGCTTTTGCATGTGTACTCCAATAAAAAGTGTGTATATGTATTTGTTACCATCTCTCAATCAGAATTGCATGAACTTGGTAAAATAATTTCTATTTTCTGTCTTTTCTATTTTTCAATAGATTGCATAATATATTTCCTTAATTAATATACTAATAAAATAATCTATATCAATTTACTTAAGAGTATTCCATTGATTATTCTTTTACTGGACTCAGTAATGTTATTTTTCATTATCTGTAATTTTTTCCAATTATTAAAGTTTCTTGGTTATTCCCACTGGAATTTGGACTACAGCGTAAATTTAAATGTTAGGTTTCATTTCCAAATTCAACTAGGATTCTATGAACAAAATCTCTGGAGAAAAGATTTAACCTACTTTTTTTCATGTATTTTTGTTTTTAAGGAATGTACCAACTCTTGCTGTGAAGCGTTGACTTGCAAACTGAAACCTGAACCCAATTGTAAGGGAGATGCTACAAACCAAGCCATGTAAGATACTAATCTATTTTTTTTTCAAATACTTCTCACTTTTATTTTATATTTAAGAAGGATATTATAAATTTAAAAAGTTACTGAATGCTTGAAAGGAAACAAAAGCCATAGTTATGAATCTGAGTAACTAATTTGTAAATCTATGTATATTTGGAAATTGAAGAGGACCAGAAGTGCTTGCTGCAGAAGGTGAAGGACTGCAACTTTAATCATGGATTGAAGCTCAACATCAAAAAGATTCTCACCACTGGGCCAACTGGCAGCATCATAATAGATGAAGAGATTGAGATTTTTCACAACTTTTGTCTACCTGGCTCCACAATCAACACCCTTGGTGCTAGCAACCAGGAAGTCAAAAGACCAATTGCACTGAGAAAGTCTACTCCCAGGGACATCTCCAGAGTACTAAAGAGCAATAAAACATCAGTCTGGAGACTAATGTGCGCCTGATCCAGGCCATAGTCTTAGCAATTATTTATTATGTGTCAGAAAGCTTGACAATGACAGGGATAATTGGACAATTGGAGAATTGATGCCTTTGAGCTGTGGTCCTGGAGAAGGGTATTGAATATACCATGGACTACCAGGAGAACAAACAGGTTTGTCTTAAAGAGGGTGAAACCAGGCTGCTCCTTGGAGGCAAGGATTCTGAAGCTTTGTATGACATATTGGGGCATGTTACAAGGAGGGACCGATGCTTGGAGAGGAACATCATGCTTTGAAGGTGGAGGGATAGCACAAGAGAGGAAGACCCTCTATGAGATGGATTGGTTCAGTGACTGGGATAATGGGGCTAGGTGTGTCAGAGACAGTAAGATTGGCACAGGATAGAGCAGGGTTCAGAGATTCTATGAGTCACATGGGACTCGATGGCACATAACAACTATATGTATAATGCCCACTTAGTTATCTGTGAGACTAGGACAGCTGAACCCTGGTAAAAGATCCATCAATTCCTGCCATGAGGTGTATAGATCAGTATAAACCAATTTTATTTTAAAAATACAAACTTTACTTATTAAATCCTCATTGATGAGCACATTTTATTATTAGTTCAAAGTTGATCATTATAATCTTCAAGGCAGTCAGAATATAAGCAACATTTATGTAAAAATATAAACAAATTAATGGAAATCAGAAGCCTAAGGAGGAAATGGGAAAGTGTAATTCCATTCAGGATATGGTAATTAATGTGATAAGATTGTACATGGATGGTTGAATTAAAAATTAATTTGTTCTGTAAACTTCCACTCAAATTACAATACTAAATCAAAATGTCTAGAAAATTTTTTAAAAAAAAAGAAAATACAAAAATACCCACCAAGGTAAAAGGAAATCAATAACATTTAAGGACACACTCAAAGATTTTATTATATCTATTTTAATGTGCTTGAATAATTCACAATTCACTCATTATTTTTATATTTCACACAATCCTATATTAGTTGGTCTAGGACAATTCATTTATCTTAATATGATATTTCCTTTTATTTTTTAAATCTAAAAAAATGAGGAAAAGAAATAATAGAAAAAAGACTCAAGATAGAGGAAGTTATTCTCTTTCCTCAACCTTGATTATGCTCTAGAATTGAACATACAGATGGATTGTTAAAAGATTAAATGACTCAAACACCAGTATTCCTTAAGAGAGAGCCAGAAAATGTGTTAGGTAGTATGGCTCATTTCTTTTTACAAAGCACCATCAAGCACCAAATTAATCCACTCTGCTAAGAATGGTTTAGAATGGTAGGTAGGCAAGTGTGAGGTTGCCCTACTTGATTATTGAGCTTAATAGACAATCTGGTAATATGAAAGAAATCTGAGGTTGCCTGTAGAAATGTCAATTGCTGTTAATAACTTGTCAGCTCTGCCAATAACAGTTATAAAGATTTAGGTCAAGGTGTTATTCTCCAATATTGACTGAAGCTCAACATCAAGAAAACAAAAATTCTCACCACTGGGCCAATTGACAACACCATGATAGTTGGAGAAGAGATTGAGTTTGTTAACAATTTCAGCCTATGTGATTCCACAATCAACACTCTTGGCATCAGAAGTCAGGAAATAAAAAAAAATCATTTAAAAAAATCTCCTGTCAGGGCCCTCTCCAGAGTGTAAAAGAGCAACAATGTCAATCTAGAGACTGAGGTGTGCCTGATCCAGGCTATAGTCTTTGCCATTACTTGCTATGCATCAGAAATCTGGACAATGAATAAGGATGACAGAAGAAGAATCAATGTCTTTGAGCTGTGGTGCTGAAGAGTACTGAACATTCCATGGACTACCAAAATCACAAACAGGTTTGTCTTGGAGAGGGTGAAGCTAAGCTTCTCCTTGGAGGCAAGGATTCTGAAGCTCTGTCTCATATACTTGGACATGTGGCCAGGAGAGATCAGTCCTTAGAGAAAGATATCATACATAGAATGGTAGTGAGATCAATTAATACAATAACTAGGGTAATTCAGGTAGTTGTGTCAGTCAGTGAGACTAGTTCAAGACAAGGCAGGGTTCATAGCTATGATAGGGTTGGGTCACAGATGACTCAATGGCACCCAATAACAAAAACCATCTGTAAAATGAAATTAATACACTGTTTCTCAGTAGGTCTATTAGTATTATTTAAGGTGAATACATTTTTTATGAATGCCTATTACTTAATATTTTATAATTATTGATGAGCTAACATTTTCCCTTCTTTTAAACAGAGAGTGAATGAAAGTCTTCATTTGGAGATAATGATTTCAAGGACAAGAATCAGAAAACTAGACTTGTGCTAAGAATCGCATGCATTTTCACTACTGTAGTTACTTCTTTTTTCATTTATCAGTCTGCTAACAGGAAAATTTATGTACTTTAAAAATGTGTCTCTATTTTAAGACTTGGTCTTTTATGCACTTTTTCTCTTCTCTTTGGAAACCAAAAGAATTAAACATTGGCAAAAACAGCTCAAAATGCACTGCTGAGTTGCGCAGATTCAATCCAGAGTTGTAAAATTACAAGTAATTTGTATCTTAAGCCATTTCATTTTGCAAATCCAGCCTTTGAGAAAAGACCAGTTAGTGATTTGAAAGAAGTAGAGCTCACATTCTTTATTCTTCCCTGTGCTCTTATACATGTAGTATTTCTATGTACTATATCTAGATTAAATACAGATAAGCACTTACCATTTATCTTGTGTAATTATTTATATATCGCTTTCACCAACACGTGTGGAGTTTATTTTTTTTAAAAAGTCTACAAGATTTACATTTTAAAGCAGCCATCAAGGAATATTTACTCATCTATTGATGTAGTAAAATATGCTAGTTAAAACTATTTGCCATACTGTCATTTCCAACGTATAATGACTTTTTTCCTTATGGTTTTCAACAGCTTTTTTTAAAAAAAGCAAATTACCATGTCTTTATTCTGAGTCACCTCTTGGCTCAAACGTCAGTCTGTTTCCTTTGTTGCTGAGCACGTAACAGTTGCACCATTCAGAGGCTTCTAATGAAACATAAAGCTAAACCAAACCTACTGCTACTGAGTCGATTCTGACTCATGGAAACCCCTCCCCCGAGGGTTCCTGAGTCTGTACATCTAAACATTAACAGATTGCCTCATTTTCTCCTATAGAGTACCTGGTGGATTCAACTCCTGACTTTTTACTGAAGCAGCAAAACAGAGATTTTACAGATCATTTTAGAAAACAAACATATTTTAGACTATTTGATGTTTTGAGCTTGATGTTGAACTAACTGGCCCAACATAATTCAAACATTTCCACTTTGATCATTGGACAGTTTGCCCCAGATCATTAAGCATCATTACTTGAGGATGAAAAAGTTATGTCATTTATATTTTAATGCCTAAAACTCAATGATGGGACACCAAATACACAAGAAGACGATATATGTTAGAGTTTCTCCCTTTAAATACTTTTTAAAAGTTACTCATATTTCCATAAGTGCTTGGGGTTGGAGATTATAAACTTAGGCACTCTTCTCAAGATCTGCCTTTGATGCCACTTGCCTGCCAGAAAGCCCTGCCTACTTGCAGTTTCTAGCTGTCTGCCCATCATTCCTCTTTGTTAAGGGTGGGTTTGCTCTGCCCTTGCTACAAGGGAGGTTGCCTCTCAGGTCACTGCCTGGCTTGACAAGGTATAGAAGTCCAATCAGATACAAATTTACATCCAATCCCTCCCAGAAACAAAGGTTCAGTAAAAATATTCTCCTTTTAACTCATATTCAGAGATTTTTCTAGAGATGAATTTCTTAAAATAGAAACATTACTGTTAATTATGTGCTGTAAAATACACTGGCTCATGAATACACACTCTTAAATTTTCAGGAAAAATACTAGCTGATTGTTAAAAACAGTAATTATTAAAAATCAAGTATATACATTTACAACAAAGTCTGTTTAAAAATTAAAGTGCTCCTGATCTTAACCATGGTCTTTTCCATTATTGCTATGCACCTGAAGCTTGTCCAATTAATAAGGAGGCAGAGAATAGATGCCTTTGAACTCTGGCATAGGAATAGGTGCATTGTTAGGTGCAGTCGGCTTGAGCATGACTCATAGCAACCCTACAATCAACCATTCTGAACAGTCCTATCCTGTGCTTTCCTCTGACATACTCAAGTCCATTGATGTAGTCATTGTGTCAACCCATTTGAACAAGGGTTTTCCTTTCTTTCATCTTTCCAACTATAATGTGCCTTTCCAAGGAATAGCCTTTCCTAGCAATATACACGAAGTATGTGAGATGAAGGTTCATAATCTTTGCCTCCCAGGAGTAGTCTGGCTGCATCTTCTCCAAGACATATCTATTTCTTCTGTTGAAATCCATGTGATCTTCAGTAATCTTCTCCAACATCACAGTTCAAAGCAGTCAATTCTTCTTCTGTCATCCTTAATCATTGGCCACCTCTCAGATGCATAGCAAGTGATTGAAAGGACCATGGGCTGAATCAAGTGCATGTTAGTCCTCAAACTATCATTGTTGTTGTTGTTGTTATG